AAGTTTAATAAGTATTTATACAATTTAAGTTAATGTAGTAGCATTACTGAGACATTAAAATGACATAGGATGAGAAGTTTCCTCTCCAGCTGAAAGCACGCAGGACTGCAGACAAGTAGTCCTGCTGCTGTTCACAGTCAAGATGTTCAGATGTCTTGCTTTGGCAATTTGTTTTCATTTCATTCTGTTTGTCAGAGTTTCAGCAAGCATAGTAATTTTGTGTCATTTCTATAGGACATCCAGAAAACTAAGCTATACTGATGGGAAAGACCAAAATCCTAGCAATGCCTTGGACGACTTCCCGGTCAAAACTTGCCAAGGAGTGCTCATGGACTGCTACAGAGAAAACATTGTTTTATAAAATTTGGTTTGGTTTTGTTTTTCTTTCTTCTTCCAAGAATCAGAGATATGTATAATATATGACTAATCCTGATTTGTACTTCCCTGTAATATAAATCTTCAGCAACTGGCTTATCCCTTCTGATGAGGAGTTTCTTACTCCTTTGGCTTCATCAGGTATTGCTGGGAATCTGGATTCCTTTTTGTGGCTAAGTTTAAATTATGTATTTAGCAGTGTTTGTAATAACGGAACATGATCTATATTATCTCTCTACCGATAAGCTTTGTTTCTTAACATATAAGTAATAAGTAACAGGCTCTTTTTGCTAAATTCCTGCCTATTCATGCTTTATAGGTGTATCAGTACTAAATGAATGAAAAAATCTCAACTGGATGATCCAAATGCAGTATTACATGATGTGACTAGTAATATGCCTGTTATGTGAATTTAATATTAAATTTTCTAAGTAGCTCACCTGTTCAATAAAATTTTATCATTTTTAGTGGATTTGATAGTTATATTCTGTGTTCTGACAAAATTCTACCTGACACAATATATATTCTAAATAAAAACCTATTCTGAACAAATACCTGCTTGCAACATTTTATTTCAGGTGTGTAAATTCTCAGGAGGAGTTTGTCTACCTACAGCAAATACGTGAGAATGATATGGCAAGGTCCCACAGGTTTTCATTGCTGTGTTCGGTCTTGGCAAGGAGGTGGTTTTAGTAGTGTCAGGTCAAGCACAGTCTGTTTTATTGGCATTGCCCCTTGTCAGCTTTCTGAGCTCCAGAAAAGGAAAAAAATAATTTTCCTTTGGCTTTTCTTCATTTCTGGATGCACAAGAGGTTTTTATGTTATTTTAGATCTTAAAACCAAGATCTTGTTTTCTTAAGTGTTGTTCTTGAATGAAACAAGTGAGGTGCTTCAGTGAGGTTTACTCTGCGATGGGACAGGAACTTCTACAATATACACACATACGTTCTATCCTTCACCATTTGTCTATTATGCTTCTTTCAACAACAGCAACAAAAGGTTGTCTTCTAGAAGTGCTTTTGTGGCTCATTTGTCTTCCTGTTCCAGACATGGATGAACTGTAGGTAATATGCTTTATGAACTACCTTCCTCTTGGATTTGTTGAGGTAATTATTTTCCAGTACGTCTTGATACCCCACTACTGAGAGATTACATAACTCCATTAATTTCCTGTTTTAAAGTAACTTGAAGGTAAGCTGGAATTGGGTTTTGGACATGTTCTGACTCTAGATATGTCTTCTACACAGCAACCTGAATGCAGGCATACCCAGGTAAGAAGGTAAGGTTACTTAAACAACATAGCAATAGTACATTGTCTCCATGAAAATTATTTTGAAAGAATTTTAAGAGGTAGTTCTTGAAAAACCTTGGAGTGTTGGAAGATAAGCTTATTCCGGTGCCACTATTTTGGTGCTAGCACTAGCCAAAAATGGGAGAAGGTTACACAATAATTTTTTGAGTTTGATCCTCCAACATCCACTTGAGCCAGCAGACTCTTAAAAGTATGATAGAACCAAAAGTCTGTTTTTCCTAACAATACTGTTTATACGGATGCATCTACAGTGATTCTCAGATGCTATAATGACCACTGGAGTATACCTGTCCTAGACTTAAAAGGATTTTGCAGTGCTACTTGATCTCTTCTGTTTTGAGCTCCGTTCTTCTTCCCTTCCAGTTTTGCTTCTTCTACCATATTTTCTCTTGTTTACTCTTTCTTCACTGTTCCATTGAACTGATACTTGAATGTTAAGCTTACTGTTAATAACAGCTTCACACTGCTTCCCTCTGCTTCAAATTTTTTGTAAGGAACGCTGGAAAAACAGGCTGGGTTACTGCAATAGTATAAACCTAGACCCAGCATCTCCTTTTCTTATTTTGTTGTATTTAGTTGAAACTTTATACATAAAGAATTTAACTAATATATGATCGTTTATGTAGGTCTTTCTCTAATGGCTTGAAGATGGAGCAATATTGAACATGCTCTTTCATGTAAGAATGCAGTAGTCATTTGAAAACTATCCCAAAAAGTCATTTAAAAAAAAAAAAAGTCATTCAGTTGCTCATTGAAGCAAATAGAGAGTAAAAAGCTGGAGGAATAAATCTAAATCTGGACTGATAACATTAGAAGTGCCTTGGAAACAGCTGATAGGCCATTAAAGATGATCCTGAAGTGGAGTCTGAGAGAGCAGCAGTGAATAATTTAACAGAAGCAATGATTAAATGTGGAAGGGAAGTGTATATTGAAGGAGAATATTTACAAAAATGCCCAGCTTTTTTATCAAGCCGTGTTGCAGGGGAAAGCAGCTGCTGGAAATTGGTGTAAATAAATAGCTGGATTAAACAGTGAAGACCAAGAATAGAGAGGAAACTGGATGTACCTAAATCCTGTGAAGTGGACTTAGTTACATGTGTGCTCAATGAGGGAGGTGTGTGCTTCACTTCCATCGAATTACCGATCAGACTGAAATGACAGGTTGAATTTAAGTCACTCACAGAGGTTCTTTGACTTTGGAATTTTTAGAGGAAAGGCATAATCAAGAGTGCAAATGCTGTGAGGAAATTGGGAAATAGCAACTTCTGTACAAAATGTACACAAATTGTATTAAATGAAAATACAGCATTCCTTGTTTCATGTGTTTGTTGGAAAATAGTAACAAACAGAAACTTGGGCCTATGCTTGTTTCCTCGAGAGATTGTTTAAGAAAACTTAATCATCTCAGAGGGCTGAGCATTGCTCCTGATTGGTGCCAGCTAAACTGAAATATTTTGTATGAACATTTTCCATATTAATACTGTGCAAACAGTTTTGATATGTGAATCCAAGCAAGAGTATGTTGATACCTATTTATTACTTATTTTGTTCCTACTATTGAACAAAGTATAATTCCTCCTAATCTCATCAAATCAAGTTAGTACTTCACATGCTGATATCTTGGTGTTTAGCTTTGGATCTTTGGCTTTGAGTTTGCCTTCCTCTTTTCCCCCCCTTAGGATCTTAGTCAGGGTCATCATTTAATGTGGTTCTCCATTAAAATTTTTTATCGATTCTTCAACAGTATTTATTTTTGGTTATCCGATGGTAGTTGGTATAAGACTGTGATAAGAGTCACCTTAATTCCAAGTCTGCCTTGTTTCTGGGGTGTAACAGCCAAATATATATTGGTTTGATTTCTGCACACAAAAGCAAGTGCTAGCACAAGACAGGCAGTGACACTGGGCAGCTTTGACTGCAGGGGTTGGCCCTTTCCTTTTGGTCTAGCACAGAAGTTAAGGCATGTTAATTAAAGAGGCTCATTAGCTATGAGCTAAACTAAACACGAATCAGGGCGTCAAAAAACTGTTTGGGTTTTTTTTATTGTTCAAAAACTTGTCCCATCCCTGGACATGTCCATCCACTTCTGCTTTTAGAAGAGACATTGGTGCTTTGTACTATGAACTTTTTGGTTTTAGGTTTTTTTTGTAGCTGCTTTCAGAGTGATCTCCTTCGAGACCTGAAACACTTTCAGAGCTCTATATGTGCTTGAGAGTTTCAAGCTCCTTGACACTGTGCTCTGCATGGATTTTATAAGGCATTAATATCCTTTTTTTGAGAAGGCAGAAATGTCTGACACCTAGAGGTAGGCATATTATACCAACATGCCTTACTGTTTCCTGCTACTACTACTCAGCGACTTCCAGAATATAAAAATAAGTCCTCGCTCTATAAAAGCTTACCATCTGATGAGATTGAAGTCTTAAGATGAATGCGCACACACAGTGTGTGAATTAGTTGGGGAAATAAAAAGCTCTTTCTACTTTTGTGAAATAGTTGGTAACTTTTGTAAAGTAGTTGGTAGCAATGGCAATGTAACACCTAATAGGAATTTAAACACATAGAATATCAGAAGGAAAAAATCTTCCCCAGGAGACTTATTGTTACAGATGATTTGCCAATATCTTTGGATATTGGCACTACATTAACAGAGGAGCTGAGATCTGAGATGTGTTCTGGTATTGCTCACAGAAGGAAACTAAAGATATATAAGGATATCATTAAATCTTACGAGTTGTACAATTACTACTTTAAGCTGTTAAATTATTCTCTAATTAGCTTTAGATATATTGTGTTATTGCCATAGACCAATCACAGCAGGGAAAGTACACAATGTTGAACAGCAGATCAGTTTTTAATTGTGGAAACAACTAAATCAGTGTGCAAGTATGAAACGCAATTTCTTTCCAAAAGTACTGTTAAAACCTGTATAGAAGAATAGTTATACTCTGCTAGAGCTCTACAGACAACAGACTGGGTCTTGTGGGACTGTTTGAAAGTTAATGGTTGTTTTAAACAGGGGATTAATTTTTACTGGAATCAGTACCATGTGAATGCTGGGATACCAAATTATACAACTTCCTTTGGAAATGTCTTCAGAGGAGCAGGTTCTTCAAAGTGGCAGGCTGGATCTTATTTCTTGCTTAGTCCGTAAATGTGCTTGGAAGATGCTTTGGAACGCTTAACTTACCCATTTTATACCCTTGTTTGGTATGTCGGTTTGCCAGGATACTGCCTCTAATTACTCACTGTTCCTTCAGAATGAACAAGCAGATCTCAGTTTATGATTATGTATTTGGTTTGTGAAGCCGCTTCAGATGTTCTCTTCTTTTGTAGTATGAATCAAACCCATTAATCTGATAGGATCATCGTGAACAGCTTCTTCAGCAGCCAGCTGCTCGCTATTGAGGTAAATGCTAACTTTGGAAGCCATCTTGGTGGGGTTAGACGATCTTTCCTCTTCATCCTCCTCTAATGGAGGGTCTTTCTTTCTTCTTGGTTTTCTGCGTTTGCCCTTGACACTGTGGTCAAGTGAGGCATAACACATCTGATTGGCAGACTCCACCTAGAAGGAAATTCACTGTGTGTTTATTGTTCAGTAGTTATACTTGCTTTAAAATTACGTCAAAGACTTTGAATATGCCCACACTGTAATCGTAATAGTGGCTGAAGTTGACCCAAGCTGGCTGCAAATGAGCTCATTAAAAGTACAATTGATTAAGCTGTGGCAGCGCAGAAAACAGACCAACATAACCCAATGGTAAGTGACTCGTGTATTTAGGATAGTGACAGTAAGGAAAAATTCATCAAGGTATTATTGGAAAGATTCTCTGTGGGAATGAAGGCAGCTTATATAATCGGTCCAAGTTCTTTGGGATGCAAGACATTATTTGATCTGTTTTTCTTCCCACTTTTTTTTTTTTAATTAGAATCCAGTTATTAGCAACGTTTTTAACAGGCTTTGTCTGTGCCGACCAAAGATGGATGATTCTTGTCTGTATCAATAATCTCATTTCCAGTGCAAAATGTATGCTTTGTCTATCTTTCCCTTGCGCCTCTGTGTTTTACAAGCCAAATTGTCACGCACTTTTGACATGGGAAGTTTCATAGATTATTCTGTTTCCATTAGGTTAATAAAAACAAATGTCTAGATTAAAAAAAAAAAAATTCTACCCTCTGGAAGTATCCTGAGAGAGGCTGGAAATGGCTGTTTATTAAATACTTGGAAATCAACTCAGGGAATTGATACTAGGAATGCTTCAATTACAGATAAATTTCAGTTGAAGCTTGCATGCTTTTAGGCATCCAAGTATCTCAATAAAATACAAATCAATAGAAAAATGGTCGTCTTTTTTTTGTTAAGGCACGTAGATTTTTGTACTGGACAGGAAACAGCCAGTCAAATTCATGATTATCATCTGATGCAGTTTGTATTTTCACTTGGTTGATGTTCAAGATAAATAAAATTAATTCTTTACATAAGCCTAATCTGTATGCCTGTGACTGAGGTTTATCGTGCCGTATGGATGGAGATGAGCTGTCTGTAATTCTGCTCCCTCATTAATGACCCAGATTGAACAAAGGGTCAAGTTTGTGCTTAAATTCTCTGATGAACTGGGACTCTAAAGCATGGTATTTTTTGTGATGAGCAGTGTGAAGATTTTTGTTATATCTTGTCATGGGACAAACACAAGAACTCTGAGATAGACCATGTTACCCTAATTTAAAAATCCAGAATTAAAATTAAAGATACCTGTAGTTGGTTAGCTGGCCTTTGAGGCTGGGACTTCATCTGCTCGTAACAACATTCCTCTAAAAGTCATCAAAGTAGAAAAATGTTTTAGTTATGACATACTACTGAGTCTTAAAAGATGAGATCAACAGATCCTCCCCAGTTTACTTTGGTAGAAGTTTGTTTTGTTTTGAAATCACACACAGATCTCGTGGTCTATTTACAGAGGAGCAAAGAGCTAAGAAATTCAGACACGCATACTGTGAAAATGAAAATAATTTTCTGTTCATATGGATGGGAAATTGCTCATTATTCACTAAGTGGGCATCATTTTAGACTGCCAGGAAGACATCTTGCAATTGGGGAGTAACCACATACTGATGTATTTTTCAGTATAGGCAATCTTTTCTTTGGCTGAGAAAGAGGCTGTGAGTTGTAGCAGCTGGAGATTAAATTCTATTCCTGACTCTGCTTTCAGTTTTCTGTAAATTTGATGCGAGTTATTTTGTCATGCCCTATCTCATTTTAGCCATCAGTAAAACAGGTTACTTCCTTACAGTTTTTAGGCTTTTGTAGTGTCAATGCATTTGAGTGTTGAGTGCTGGCTTAGTTCAAATTATGCAAACACTTTATGAAAAAGATTTTTCCCTTATTGTTCAAGTACTCTGGTCCAGTTTTGCTTAACCCCAAACACGGCTAGCAAAAAAGTTGTGTTCATGTCACTTAAATACTATAGCACCATAAGGACTTCAGGAGACATTCCCTCAGCTTATCTAGCTCTAGCTGCAGTTTTATGATATTACTGCCTTTAACTTGCTGTCTCTCTTTCAAGGATTGTTGACTTCAGCCCAGTAAAGCAGAGAAAAGCTATGTCTGCCCATCATTCAGCTGCTGAGATTGTTTCAGCATATTTGTCAACGTCGCTGATGATCTATGGGATAGCCACAGCAGAGAACTGGTATGTGTTTCTTTCTGCCAGCTCCTCTGGGAGCGTTGGCTCCGGGCAGTGAGTAGTGTGTGTCTTAGATTGCTTTAACATGCATGGATCAAGCTATTGTTTCAATGGGTGCAGCTTTACATTTAGAAAAACTCTTGGTTTTGAGATGTTTGGCTAAACAGGACCACTTGGACTGTAAAAAGTCAAATTCTGTATGTGATCTGGTCTTACAAACAGTAGTGCAGTATGATGGTTTGCAATTCTATCTCCACTAAGTATTAACACAGCAATTGAAAAGGGATAGATTCTCAAGTTTGCTATTTGAGAAACGCAGAAAGTGTTGGTCAGTCAGCTTTTAACCATACATTTATCAGAGCCTCTGAACAGACAAATGTTCTTAAAGTGAATCTTACCTAAAATATCTTGATTGAGATTGCCATAAACTGGGTCATCTTCTGTGCAGAAGTCATCATAGCTTAGAAGGGGAATGGAAAAATACTTTTAATTCACAGAATATGCTTTCTTTTTAGGACCCCACTATTCTACTCTAAACGTTTTACACACATATAGCAGTAGCAGATTATATGTGTTCTACAAAATAAGAACAAAAATATCAAGAGAGGTTGGAAATACCAGTTTTGCAGAAGGGGAAGAAATGGTGATGTCCATATTCTGAAGAGAGATTTGTTATCTAGCCAAGAATTGAACTTTTTTTCCTGTGACTTGGTTAAGAATAAAGCTAATCTCAAGACTACTAAGCTACTGTTTGATGCAGTTCTAGAAATATTAACAATCACTGAAAGGAATCCAGTTCATGTCCTATAAGACCACTCTCAACACAAACTAAAGCACTAAATAGGTCTTTTGGGGAGGTGTTCTTAAAAAGTTCACTCTTGATTTAACTAAAATACATACCTCAGCACAACTAGAGAAGACCAAAGCAAAGTTCAGCTTTGGATATTCAATGGCATTCTGTGTTTCATTACTTGGTGTTGCTTGAAAATGTTTTTAAGCATATTTGTAAAACTGGGAACTGTTAGTGGGAAGCACTGTGTAACCTTGTTCATATTGCGTCCCTGTACTGCGCCTTGTCAGGGGCATGAAGTACTGCAATCTAACACCACTTTTTCAGTGGTATTTTTCAGCTGAACAGGCAGTGATAGACGAATAGAGACTTCCTAACTTCAAGTAAACTTGTAATTGAGGATTGGTTTGGGGGAACAGGTGAAGGCTTTTATATTTTTTTTTCAAGCGCCTTTTATATCTGGGTTGAGACGAGACTTTCCATCTCTATTTTCTAAAGTTTTGGTAGGTCATTTTTATATAGAATAAGAGAAACAGACTTCTAGCAGATCATAAGGTATCCAGCAGTTGTAAACAGACTCCATGTTATTGCTTTTGAACATCATGTGTATAAGAAGGGTATGAAACGTAAATACATATAAATTCTTGTTCCACAAGTATTAAATATCAGACTATAATATCATTGTTTTCTGAGCATTCTTTTTAATTATTATAGATTTATTGAGTTTGAGTGATAGTAAATAGTAGTTCAGCTCAATATCTTGCACATCTTTCAGTATATAAAATTATTATATTAGCATACAGTTATTTCATTGTTGATAAAAGAACTGGAGTACATCTCTCCCACAAGAATTTATTTTCCTGTTTTCTTTGGAAAACTTTTTTTTCCCACAACCATCCTGCTCTCTAACATTTCCAGACAGGCTGCATGAGATAGTGGATTTTCCTCTATGCTGTCCCTCCAAAGCCAGCTGTCATTATTTACTGCTTATTTCATCCTCATCGGAAAGAAACGTTTTTATCCAACTTACCTTGGACTGTTGTCTTCATAGTCTTTATACCTTTTAGCTGGAAAATTTGTTAAAAAAATAACGTTGAGATAAAATGAAACATGCTATTTTAGAACACTTCAGATAATTGTCTTAACTGATATGCTTTTGATTTCACTGTAGAGAGTAAAATTGAAAGCTCTTGGCTTTCAGGACCTTCAGTTGTCCCCCTGCCTTTTTCAAAAACTTTTGACTAATATAAGAAACGTTTGTGTTATGACTCTGCTGTGGCTGTGAAGTCTATGTTAGTTTATCAGACCTCAAAAATGTGTTGTAACTTGTGCGATTAATTCCTTCTTTCCTCCTCTTTTTGCTTCTACCTGATCTTTTTCTCTGCCTAGGGAGATGCATCATATGTTTATATTACAAGGCGAAGGGTTCATTTATTTTACTATTTCTGTTGCTTGTATCTGTGACAGAAAGATATCCTGTGATCCACATAGATGAAGAAACCGAAGCAGAGAGGCGGTGGCTGCAAGGAGATTTATAGCTAGAGCCCGATTATTAACTCACGGATTGACTTTCTATCCTGTGCTCCAGCACTCCACAATTTACCATGGTAAGCTCTGATTCCATGAGCAATGCAGCATCAGCCAATCTGACTGAAAGCTTGCTCAAGGTTAGTTTTGTAAATGACTGTGATTTTTCATCTTAGAAGTCTCTGCCTAGTAGCACTAAAAGACAAAACAATGCAAAAAAGCACATCCCTCCTCATCCCGCAGCACTCCAGCAACTCTTTTAATACCCTGTAGCCATACTAATTCTCTTATACCAGATGAATTCTGTTTATAAGCATAGACCTTCTGTTCATGTAGATTATGTGTGTATGCGTGTTTAAAGTGGTTGAATCCACCAATGTTTACCTGTCCACCCATACACGTGTAGCACAGGTGCAGTTTTCCCTGCGTAAAGGCAGTTTTTCCCTGAATGGGAATGGTAAGGATTCTAAAACTTAATAACTATAGAATTGTATGCATAATAGAGGTTGCACTGGCATAATCAGTTCTGTTAAAAAAGTGATAGTTAATTTTAAACAAAGCTAGAGTATGACTGTAGTCACCCTCTAACATAAATTAAACAAATTGGTTCCTTATTGTGAGTGACACATTGGTTTAAGAGCTACATTAGGATCCCATGATGAAAACCAGTTAGAACTTTATTTTGAAAAAACTGGCTAAGCATAAAATGTGTGTGAAATCTGAAATTCAAATAAGTATTTAAGAGTTTTGGAAGAAGAAAATTTTCTCAAATGTATTTGGTATCAGTGCACCTACGTAAAAAAAAAAAAATTGAATTAAACTACAAACAATAACTACTTACATGAAAAGTATACTTTAGAAAAGGAAATTACAGGTGTTAAAAATATACTTCAAAAATAAAAATTTAGCCAGAACTGAATTCTTCACCTTGTACATGTTCTGTTGGTTTGTCTTCAGAGAATGGGTTTGGGCAGCTGTTTTTAGCAGCAGACTGGGCAATCATTCAGTAATCATACCTGACTCTCCCAAAAATTTTTTAAAGTTACATTCTCTCGCCTAGAATCATTCTTGCCAAAATATAACGTTAAGATTCAGAAGAATCAATTTATTGGCTTGAAATCTCCCAGCAGTGATGCCTTTCTCTACAAACACTTTAAACACTCAAACTCCATTCCTCACAGCGAGACGCCCTTACTTACCTTGCTTCTTTTCCATGTAGTGTGAAATGTTCAATATCAACGAAACAATCAGAGCCAAACTCAGAAAGGCCAGAACTCCCCAGACAGAAAAATGGCAGTCCATCTCTTTAGCTGAAAGAAAATAGTTTTGTAGTTTGTGTTGTCTAACAATTTTACTGTATTCTTTGAGGCTGGATGATTTTTGCTTTCTGTAATTCAAGCTACAGTTTTGTTGTTTAGTCTGTGACAGCTATACAAGCTAAATAATCGATATCGAAAGCAGATGCTAAATAATAAGAAAGTAATATCAATGAACTGGTAGCAGAACTACTGTTTTATAGGAATACAGGCAAACCTTTGGCTGAATTCCTGTAAAACAGTAAGACACAGTAAAAATCAGAATTTGATGAAGAAAAAAATCATTTTAGTGAATAGCTTTTAAATTATTTTTGCAGTTGTCTTTTACTATTTGCAGTGAGTTTTTGGCTAAATTCTAGAGTTTGTGAGTGAAGTTCTGAAGATTAGTTCAGTCAAAACAACTTGATTCACTGAAAATATCTCTGAGTAACAGGTAAGAACAACAGGTTCTAACAATCCCTGCAACACATTTCAAAGGTTGGTTGTGTGTTTTCTTGCATCGTCTATTAAAACCACTTACTCGTACTCACATCCTCGCTCGCCTTCCTAATAAAGCAGAGGGTGTAGTGGCAAACCATGAGCCGTAGCTGGGGGGTGGAGAAACACCCAAAACTACTCCAGAGAAAAGCCTGAACTGCTCCTGAAGAATCAATTGGTGGGTCAACTTGAATGAACAAAACCTCCCTTTGCACTGTATTTGTCTCTCCTTGGAGTTTCCTGTTAGAAACACAGGAAGGAAGCCCCCTTGCACCCAATGTATTTTGTTATTTAATTAATTCTTCAATTAACCTAGCTCATACAAATTTTCCATCACAAACCTTGCTGAAGACAACAGCGTATTGGTGACAGTCTAATGGCCAAAATTATCAGCCTTGCTGCAAATGACCTGCAAAACCCTTCCTTGATAGAGGAAATGCTGAGCCAAATACATGTCTGAGAGGAGTATAGATGTAGGTTCTTCACTTTCCCCAGAGGCTTGTTTCATGTTCTTCTAGATTGAGAGTGTTTGAAATAAAGCCTGGTCCAAAAATTAACGAACTCCACTAATACTGGACAAAAAAGTCTAGCTGAAGCAGAGCAGTCAAGGGGAGAGATACTCTGAGTGAGATTCGAGCAGGTCCTTAATACTTTTACTTGGGTTTGATGTAGCTGGGTTCTTCCAGGAGGCTGACATTTTTTTTGCTTCTCAAAGGAAGGCTGAGATAAAGGATTACAGGAATATACATTCCCATGTTGCTGGAGGTGGGTGGTAGGGGTTAATGCATTTGTTCCTGATGAGAAGACAGAGCTTTGTTCCTTGGCTGACTGGCTCCACCTCACCTTAGGAACTGCTCCTAACAGGTTTTGTTTCCTAGTTACGCTGGTGTTGCGAAAGCTCTTTTAGTTTTATTTTATTCCAAGCCACGGATTTTTTGATGATGATGAAACAAGATAAGATAATCCTTGGTAGTAAAAAATCACCAATTGGATGGGTTTCTATGATGCAAGTTTGCTTCCTGATCAGAGCTCTTTTAAAAGGAACGAAACAGAGCAAGTAAGCTGCAACCGACATACTTGTAACTGGTTTTTGCACATGGTACATGCAGTGGCCATTTATCTTTCTTTTTAAATGAAATATCCAATTTCCATTCTTTTATTTTCTCCTACGTAAGTTTTCTCAAAGGTGTTTGAGGGTTCTCCATCACGGCAATGCTACTTTTCTTGTCGAGATGTACTTTTTTGCAATAAGATACAAACATTAATGAGGAGAGGCAACAAACACCTCTATGAAGCAACTATATATTATTCCATTTTTTCAGAGGATGAGTTAAAAGAAAGGGAGATCCTACCTTGAGAAGATGTTATCAGGCCTCGTCAAGAACCACTAGTGTTTGGAACCTAGTTACTCTACAATTAGTCATTCAAGAACATTTGCATTCTATGCAACCTGCCCGAAACTACAAGAAGTCTATGTCAAAGTCAAGAACTTTTAAGTCTCAGTGTAGTGCCTAAATAATGAGTTGTCTTTCCTTCTTCTCCTGTCCTTTTATCTTTTCTGAAGTGATTGTTTTCCATTTTTCTTACGATCATTTCATATTTCTTTTCCTAAAAATTCCATTATTTTTTCCCTTCCCAGGATCAAAAGCAGCGCTGCGGCCTAAAAGAAGGGAAGCACATGTAACTGTGATAGAAACTACAATCCTCTGATTCACTAGAACAAAAAGAGTGAGTAGATACCTAAAGTATAGCTGGAGCCTAAGTTTGTACCTTTTTCTTGACACTGAATGCTGTCATTTATCTTTCTGATTCAGGAACTCTACTTTCCCTGGTGTTTCTAGGGTAGGAGGAGAACTCTTAATTTCAAATTGAATATTTTCAGCCCTTAAGTGAAGTGGAGAGGAGGTAACTAAATTTTTGATGACAAATATTTCTTTTGTGTTTCATCTTCTGATTTAAATTGGACTTATTATCTGGAAAATAGTAAAGGTTGGAAAAAAGTTATTTCCCTTTTCAGTCTCAAGTTTAACTTCTACAGTATTTGAGCAATCCTACTTCTCTAGGACTTAAAGTATTTTAGCAGAACAAAAGGCACGATACTTGGATTTCTAATAAAATGTATCAATGTTTTAAACCTCACAACCTAGAGCTTTCTTAAACATGGTTTAGAAACCTGCATGGGTGTGAGGAGATTAAGAAAACAACATTTAAATTTATTCCTAGCTGAACACTACTCAGTGTATTTTAAAATTTATTTTCCACAACTCTGACTTACACATCTGTATTTCAGCAGAATATATACAAACATACATGTGCCTTCAGTGTCTTATTTTTTAAAGTTTTTTCTTACCTTTGCTATACGAGCTTTTTTGTCAGACAACACTACTTATATCTCAGAAACAACAACCATTTTCATTTACCCCTTAAAACCATAGTAAAGGCCTTGATCAGAGATATTTGAGTGTTGCTTTGAGTGCTCTGTGCCTTTCTAACGTCTGTTTCAAGTTAATCTTATTGTCCATGTACAAAATATGAGAGATTTTGATTTTCTATCCTAGCTTTACAGATAAACAGCTCCCGGGTCTTTCCCAGCTGTTCTTTTACCACCGTTATAGCTGTTGCCAATATGCTAGCTACTTACACTTATTACTGCATTATTTAAATATTTACTACTTTGACAACAGCAGCAGTAGAAGGAAAGCTGAAATACCCATGTGAAGAAAAATTTGTCTCCTCAGATAACTACAGTGCTGTCTCTGTACGTATAATAGCAGCTGCAGTCCATGACAGCTAACTGGCGGTGCTAAAGACAAAAAAAATTAGGTGTCTGTGGATGGAGAGTGAGAAATAAAGAGAAAGAGAAGTCTATTAGACCAATTATAGTCTGTTCTGGAATAGTGTCTTTTTATTCTATTCTCTAATTTTAATTCTCACTCAAGTCATCTACTGTCAAATGTAGCAAAACCAGATTTATTTCTTTTTTTACATATCTATTCCAAAGAACTCATAGCATGGTGTTCAGAGGCATTCACACTCAATTGCAGTCAAATTGAATATTTTTAAAAGCTTTGTTATATCTTTGAAAAAAAAAAATGAAGTCCTAATGAAAAATTAGGTCCCTGGGAATAGCACTATGATTCTAACAGGATAAGCTCAAATTCCATCACAGCTTTCTGCAATAGTCTATCTGCGATGGGAAAGACCTAAGAGTGATAGTAGTTTGTTCATGAGAAATCATGTTGAAGCTGTTCTTAAAGTAATGTGCTGCTCTGTGAAAGAAAAGAGTTCATCGTATAGCCAAAGGTTTTACGGGAAGGACAACAATTCTTCGTTTATTTTTAGAAGAAGTTGGGATGTGTTAGAGGGGAAAGTATTATATTTAATGATGATAAAGATGACAGGTATATTTTGAATATTTGATACCAAAATCTCTCTAGCATTAACGATACATTCCTATTCTGCTCTTCTTTCATTCGTATTTGGAAGCAGGGCCAAACCTGGAGTTGCATCCCAGTAGAACATCTACCTTAGGTAATTTACTCCATCTGGATGACGTTTTTACTTTTCTGACTTTAGGGATAGGATAACTCATCTCCTCTTAGTATATTTTACAGTGCTATAAACTAAAGGTTCTATATTCACACAACAAAATGCAGGCAAACAAAAGACTTTCTAAAGACGTAGTTAATTGTGCTTTTTCTTTTTAAATCTATTGACAACTTCCTCCATCAACAGGGACAAGACATGGGGATAAATAGACTTTTGGTCACTTGTTCTTAGGTTTTCTCTTTGCAGGTTCATTATACTGTAATTGGGGGAGGCAGGAAGAAGCAAAAAACCAACCAACCAACCAAAAAACCAAAATCCTACACAAACAAAAGCCCCCAAAACATTATAATCTTTCCTGGATGAATTTCTGCAATTCAGTGTCACTGCAACTCAAAGGAGTGGACATAATCATGTACTTACCTTTGGGGAAAGGAGCCAGATTTAACAATTCAGAGCTAGAAATAGTTATTTATCCTCCTAACAGCATAAGAATAGGTAGCAGAAGTAATGAGTTTCGTTCCTTCTTGTTCTAATGTATTTTGTTTAGAGAATCTATCACAAAGGATAACAGGAAGATATCATATTTCTACCAGTTTTTCCTACCAAAAAGGAACATGACGTGGGGAATATCTGTCTAACAAGAACTGGACATGCCATCTATTTTGTCAGCTCATCATTCATAGAAGCAATTAATTACTTTAGTTACTACCAGATTTAAGACAATGATCTGGAGCACAAAATGGTTTGTTTCCTGTTGTTTCTGTCTGCAAATTTGTCAAAGATGAGACAAAATTATCTGCTTCTCACCCTCTCTGATTAAATGGTGAAATAAATTATATTCTGAACTAATGACCCTTCGAAAAAGAAACCTTTTAAGAGACTGATGAATGTTAAATTAACATTAAAGATGCTTCCACCTGTATGAGTTTTTAAGATAGAATTAATTCTCTGGAAAGGATT